ACAATTAGACGATTTTTTACAAATAGCCTCAAAACGTTCAGCAGGTGTAAGAGACGGGGACATTCAAAGTGTAAATAAGGGAGCTTTACACAAGAATCATAAAAAAAACTATATTGTTTTTGTTTTGTTTTGGTACCTCTGGGTCACCGATGGCTGAGTCAAAGCCTGCGCACACCAACACCAAGTCTGGGCAAAACTGTGAGCAAGACTCATATCAGCTAAAAGTAGTGATAACACTTCAATATAAATATAAAAAAGGCTTCTAAAAATGTCTCACCTCATAAGCTACCGGCAGAAGAACGTGGCAGAAGATGGACAGATAGTCGCTGTTTTCCATTCCCACCTGGAAAACCATAAAGAGGCCTCTGCTAGAAATGCTATACATAGATTAAACACATCTTTATCTTTAGGTGCGTAGGATAGTGTGTGTGCTTCCAGTCTGACTGCTATTTATATTAAAAACTCTAGTAATAATATCAAATATCAATTAAACATCTTTAACCCAAGGCTAACCTTTTGTGTTTAATCACCTTATTCCAAGGAACGTTTACATTGAAGCCAGCTCCGTTGCCCTTGCCGACGCTGTCATAGTCTGACTCTCTGAGATTAGGCCAGAATTTCTGATGCTCATATCGGTGCCAAGAATAGTAGAGAACACTGTAAAATACCAAGATAAATATAATCAATAAAATATTAAGCCTGTTAAGCCTGCTACATGTTCTCAGGCTATAACTGCTGTTGAACCTCGGATCATCTTCAAAGCAATACTGCACCCCTTGACCGTGATGAATGTCCCAGTCTACTATCAACACCCTGGAAATGAAACGTTTAAGTTGCTTTAAGTTAATGCAGATCCCACATAAGTTGGAGAAAATGCAGAAAAACAGAAAGGAGGAAATACCTTTTGACTCCATGTTTTTGTTTGGCATACTGTGCAGCTATGGCTACATTGTTGAACACACAGAAACCATTGGCAGCGCTGCGCATACTGTGGTGTCCCGGTGGTCTACCAGCAGAAATGGAAAATATGTAATTTTTTTCCTTATATGAGAGTATGAACTCATAGTTTCCAACCATTCATTATGGCAATAATCAGGAATAGAGACTGAAAACCTCCTTGCAACAAAGTAGGTGTATGAAACAAATAAATCCTGATAAAATGGACACAGTTCATCATCAGAGCAGGTTTAGATTTTACCTGACCAGAGCTATGCCGTTCCTGACCTTCCCTGTCATCACGCTGTCCACCAGCTGCAGAGCGGACCCAGCAGCCAGCTTGGCACAGTGGTAGATATTCTAGAGAAGTAAACAAGAATAAAAAGTGAGCAACGCCACCACGGGAGCACAGAGAAACAAAGGTCATACACAGCTGCTGAGTAGCAGACTAACTGGGTGGAAGTAGACATCGCCGTACTGAAGGGTGAACTCCTTCAAGTCCTCCAGGGTCATGTAGGGAGTCTTTTTCACCGCCTCCAGATACTCCTCACTGTTGAGAAAATTTCCTTTTAATGAAGAGCTTATAATCATTCATTATTCCTGAATCCCTTTCTCTGCTTTTCTCCATGATGCCTATATGCTAATGATTTCTAAAAAAAAAATGAACATTAAAGCTGTTATATATGCAAACAATCAACCTGAGAAGTTTAAAAGGGACTAGAGGTGCTGTGGTGACTAACTGATGAGTTTATTCACCACAAATGAAGCGTCTGATAAGGAGCCCGCTCTACAGCCTTTGGCCACATAGAAGCAATCAGGACTGACCTGTGGGCGAGGAGTATCTCTGCGTCTGTGGCCTCACGAGGAGGTATAGAGACGCAGCGGTCAGACAGACCGCTCCTAACCAAGGCTTCATAACTGACCGTCAGCCGCTCAGGAACCTCAATCTTACATGCCGGGCTGCAGGAAGAAGAGTCAGAATCAGAAATACTTTAATGATCCCAGAGGGAAATTACTTTTGTTACTCGATCGGGATATACAAACCTAAAACATATAATAACTGTAATTATATGGTAAATACATATCAATAGGTTTAAAAAGATTAAAATGCTTCCTCTGCATTTTAAAATGATTTTATTGGGATATTTAAAAAGCTTTAGAGTGGTAAATTTGTTTTTTTTTTTTTGCTAAATGGAGAATGACGAGTTCAAGAGCATCGACCCATTGAAAGTCTTGACAGAAGAAAGACGGCCAGTCTGTTTTTCCTTTTTAAAAAAACTTCAAAACTGAGTCTGGAAATACTTCAAACTAATTATTCAGTTTAAACTAAATGATAAATCGCTATTATATTATTTATTTATACAAATTATAAGAAGAGCAGGCTGTGTACTTTGTACAAACACGATTCCTAGAAACAACTTAGTTAAATAAGGCATTTACTATATTATTCTACTAAAGTCAGTAACAAAATTAAAACTATGTAACCAAACTATACTAATACTATAATTATTAATAGCAAATGAATGAATGCGTTATGCATTTAGGCAGCAGGATGTTAATAATTGTTTTCTCTCCTTTTTTAAATTTAATAAATAAAGATTATGTTTGGCCTTTTTTATGCAAACATGGTTTTATTCAAAGTAATATTTTTTAGTTGGTAGTTATATTCAGGTTGATATTTTTTATGTTCTAAATTCGCATTTATTGTTTTAAAATACGAAAAGAAGGTATGGCGATAGAAAATATAGGAACATTAAAAACAGATTTTGTAAAATTGAATAAAAAACATTTGATAAACTGGATCAACCATAGATATCCATAATAAAGGCCTTTATCTATGGGATCAACAGTTGTGTCCGGGTGTCCCTTTCTAAATTGCCGTACAGGAAACTTGTCCCCGTATAATCTGTACCCACCCCCAGAGACCGTAGCTAACAAACCGCTTTTAAACAAGAGTGAGCTTAAAAAATATATTTCCAACTTACTCAACCCAGAGCAGTTTGTATTTGGTCATTTCCTCATCATAAATCAGTGCCGTCCCCATTGCAAAAGATAAAGACGTAGAAAGCAATAAAAATATGGAACGCTCCTGTTGTTTTTTTTAAATAGTCTCTTCTGTCCAACAGCGCGATTCCGAAATTAATTTAGACTACCTCATAGTGATATGTAAGACCATAGACATTAGTGTAAGACGGTCCTAACTTTATTATGAATGTGTCGCGGAAGACTGGAAGTAAATAGAAAACAAAGTAGCCCATGTGAGAAAGTGGTACTTCAACGGTGCATGGTGGCCATCTAGTGGACGGAGGGTGGTACTTCCCCATGCTGATTGACTACTTCCCCAGATGAACATGTTTCCGTTTCTTTGCATGGTTTTAGAGAAAAAAGAATTTCAATCATAGTTTACATTTGAAGGATTTCAAATTGCAGCCTTTGTTTTTATCCAATACATTTCAATTGCAATACATCTAATTGACAAAAAGACAACCGAAAAATAATCTTTAGAGTGCTAATGTGGACCTTTTCCAAAAATCACCTTAAGCAGCAATTCATTTACCGGTATTAATAGGGAACAGAGAAAATTAACCAATATATAAGTATATTACATAAAACATGTCGGACATTTTCCTTAACTCAATTTAATGAAAATGTGGCTTTCATAGGACAGCAAGACTACAATAATCCAAGAAACTAGTAGTAGTTATGTCTTTTTTCCAGGTCTTAATCTCCCTGAGGGGATCAGTCCCATAGATTTACGTCTGTCATCTAAAAAGTATTTATACATGTTTTTAAATAGGCTGTTTTTCTGCCTCCATGCATAGACATTGATATACATGCCAAGATGTGGGAAGGAACTAATTACATTTACTTGAGTAACATTTTGAAAGAAACAATACTTTTAGGAAATGTAGTAGTTTTACTGTGCAGTACTTCTTACTTTTACTTGAGTAATATTCATAATGTATCACTGCTACTACTTGAGTAAAATGTCTGACTACTCTGTTCTCTGTCAGTAATTTGAACTAGGTCATTTGACCAGGTAAACAGTAGATATTATCAGTGGAGTTCTTTGCCCTGTCCTAACATATATACAGATCTCACTGAAGGGATCGGTTTTCTACATTTTATGTGGCAAACAGAAATCGGCAAAAGTATTTCCTCTGCATGAATTTGTTTTATTTGTTGTATTCTTTATGCATTTGAGTCTGTAAAATACCAGAAGCTTTACATAAAGTCTGTCTGTCTACATAATTTCTAAACACTGAATCAGATATTAGTATCTATTACTCAGTGCTCAAGTAGCCTTTTTACCAAGTACTTTTTTACTTTAACTTGAGTTAAAAAAAAAAAAGTTGAAGTATTACTACTCTAACTTAAGTACAATTTTTGAGTAGTCTACTGACCTCTGTATGTTACCAAGGAGTGGTTTATAAATACTATCATTTCATTTATATCATTGTGAAATTTAATTAGTTTTTTTTCCCTTTTCTTTCTATTACTCTAATACTCACTTTTAATTATTGTTTTACACTTAATTTTTTTTTGTTTTCTTTTGAAATCTGAAGTTTTTTAAGAGTTCTGTAACTTGTTTTTTTTACGGATTTTAAACAAATTTCTTTTTAAATTTTTGTATTGTATTTGAAAAGTTATGTAAGAAATGAACAAAGAAGAATTTAATATAATTTTACTTTTTATTATTGTTGTAATTAAAGTCAATAAAAAAGCTTAAACAGTCCAAGACAAACCAACAAATACAGAGTACATTAGGAATGTACAACATATCATATAACATGAGAAGCTCTAGCCTGACCAAAGATAATGTCTTTATAAAGTAATTTAGAAAACAGATCCATTTTCCTGTGGGAAATATATCCATTGTACCACTGGGAATATAAAAATCGGAACATTTCCATTTTCAGAGTTTAAAAAAGGCTTACACAGAGGGAATGTTTAGACAGCAAATATTATTCAGTTTCCCATATTTTAAATCAGCCTTTGTTTAGTTTTTGATTTTGATATAAATAGTACATTGTTGTTTTTCCTCTGTCCGTGTGACCAGCTCCTCATAACCTGTCTTCTTCTTCCTCCTCATCTTCTGTCCTTCCCTCTGTTTCCTCCAGGGTCCTTGTTGGAACATTTGAGCTCCTGTCCAATCTTTCCTTTACTTCTGTCTTCCCATTCCCCTCATCTTCTTCTCTGCATACCCTGCACCACATGAGCAGGGTTGCTCTGCATCTTCCCCTGAAGGAAGGGTCACAGGCGGCGTAAAGCAGTGGGTTAAGGCAGGAGTTCAGGTACGCCAAACAGGTGACATATGGGTGAGCAGCCAGCAGAGCCTGGTCTAAAGAGCACGAGTAGGGGACTAAGTCAAACTCCATTAGGACAGAGATAGTTTTGTTGATGTGAAGTGGCAACCAGCACAGGAAGAAGGCCATCACTAGAGTGATAATGACTCTTAGGAGTCTGCGTTGGTGCCTGCGGTCAGGACGAGGGCCATGTCCGAAGTGCCTGCTGAGGAGCCGAGCCAGTGAGCAGTAGCAGATGAGCAGGATGACGAGTGGCAGGAGGAAGCCAATTAAAGTTGACTTTAAGCTCAATACAGCAGCCCACCACATCTCAGCGCTGTCTTTCTCAGCCTCGTCAAGCTCTGCTCCAACAAGCATAGAGTAATCCATCTGGCAGGAAAGGACAAAAGATCCTGGGTCATCCCTAGACTTTGGGTCGAGCTCCACTTCCCTGACAGAACGCAGCAAGCCAGGCAGCGCCAGAATCCCTGCTAATGTCCACACTGCTATGAGTATCCACAAAGTCCTATTAGGACACCTCTGCAAGGGATAGTGGCCTGAGTGACGGCGTCCCGTCAAGACCCAGTACCTCTCCACACTGAGCATACTGAGGCTGAATATGCTGGCGTACATGTTGAGAGCTGTGAGGAAGCTGCTTATCTGGCAAAGGGGTTGTCCAAAAGGCCAGTGGTAGCCCATTGCTGTGTAGGCAGCCCAGAAGGGCAGAGTTACAAGAAAGCAAAGGTCAGCTAAAGCCAGACTGGCAATCAGAGAGTCTGTCAGGGAGCGAGAAGGCCGAGGGATGGAGGGAGGGAGCGAGGAAGAGCTGAAGGCATGAGAGGAAGGCCTGTAGCTTTGTCCTGATGGGTTCCCTCTGTCTGACACATGGTGAGTTCTGGAAGCATCATGATGAGTAGCTCTGAAAGAACAGCACAGCTTTCCTATTGCAATACGCCGTTTGTCTCTTATCCTGATTCCTCTCGCATTGGTTCGATGCAAGTACACCCAGAGCACCAAGCTGTTACCAAGGCAACCCACCAGGAAGGACAACAAGTAGACTGATGGGATAATGTAGAAGGAGGGAGACCAGTCACTGTAGTCGCAGTGGAACATAGGGGGTGTAGGGGTGACAGGGTAGGGAAAGGCTGACATCTTTCTTTTAAAAATATTCCGGCATTGTGATTTAGCACGACAGAGAGACTGGGTCCATCACCCGTCCGCTTTTCTCTCCTCCTGGTGTTGAACTGGTTTGTCTGAAAATTTTGTAAAAACAGTGACATTTTACAGGTTTTAATGCTCTTTGTCCTGTGACATTCAGGTGTATAAAGTTCCTTGCAAAGTTTTCAAACCCTTGAACTGGTTTACATTTGGACCTAACATAATATTTCAAGTTATCCTACTTTTACCTTATAAGACAGACCAACACAAAGTAGAGCAAAGCAGGAAGAAAACAATAAATGATTTTGTAATCTCTGCAAATAAAAACCTTTAAAGACTGGTCTTCATTTTGTCCTTTCAACTCCTGATCCTAAATAAACCCCTGTGCAACACACTTACCCCATATGTCACCTTATTGGAGAAGACAATTTAGAAAAGTGAGTGGATCATTCTACATTTAGACCTTAAGGCACTTACAATACAAATCTGCACAACTCAAATGCAAGCCAAAAGTGTAAAATACAAAGACCTCTTATCGGATGAAACTAAAACTAAAGATTTTAACTTAACGTGCAAAACACAGTTTGTAATTTTGCACAAAACCCTCCCTATACCCACAGGGACACATTTTGTTGGAATCATCTTTTTCAAGAGGGACAGGTAAGTTAAAAGGGTTAGGGTAACTGTGATGTGGATAAAACTAAATACAGGACAATACAGAATTTAAACTAGCTAGAGACTGGAAATGAATTAAAGCTAAGGGGCAAGTTTACCTTCCATCAGGGCCATTGATGAAATGGTGTATAAAATATGAATCTCACAAAAAACGCCTAATCAAAGAACAGAAATGATCCAGTTAAATCTGCAGCACTTTCCATCCACTCTGACTGGTCATAAACTATTTAGCAAAGGAGAATGGACATTTAAGATTATAGATGTCCGAAACAGACATAATATATACCTCCAATTATATTCTCTCTTTTTTTTTATTCCTTTTCCTCAAACTATATTGTTATGCTTTACTCTCTGTTGGTGTGTCACATAAAATCCTAAGATGAAATCTAATACTAAAGTTTATGCTTGGGAAATCAAGACAAAAGAAACGGGTGTGAATACTTTTGCAAGGCAATATTTCAAATCAAGAAAGGAAATGCTGAGACATTAAAACATGGAATACACTGAGGTTGAACTTACCTTGACCAGCTTGGATACTATCCTTGCACAGATACTGAAAACGTGTCTATCATTGCAGTGTAAAAGAAAAACCTTTGATTCAGTCATCTAAGGCTACCTGGAAGTGGAACGGCTACATTCTGCCTCTGCAGCTTGCTAACTGGAAAGGGCATCCTTTCATATGTCTGAGTATATATGAGGGTATCCTCCTTTGACAGAAAATGGGAGAAATACACAGAGAAAGCCCTCCTTTTTCACAACTTCAATAGGACCACCCCAGGAGAGTTACAAGAACTAAAAACATCCATTCCCCCAAAACAAACACCTCCTGTAAGGAACAACAGCCCAGTTGGGAGCACACATCGACAGACAAACCAACTCCTGGCCCTTAAATAGCCCATAAAGTAGCCAAATACAACAACCAACAATTAGAGAAATTACTTTACTGCCCTGACATTCAGAGCCTGATCCCAAACATCTAGCAGAAAATGGATGACCTAAAACCAGTGAATGCACAGGAAAGGCCCATAAATAACTGATACAACATTCCCAAAGAAATGTTGCTATAAAAAAGGGAGAAAACTTCAGTTCTGTTAACTGAATTCTAACTGTAGTTTATTTACTGTTATATTAGCTTATTCTGAATAATTTCTTTTGACATATCAGGAAAACTATTAACATTTGAACACTCCTTAAAAGTATTACTATTACTTTTTATCAACACATTGATCTGTTTTACCTTCCAGAAGCATGTTCACTATTATTATCATTATTTTTTATTTCCTGCAAATACAGGAAAATGTTCTAATGTGGAGATATTTGGAGGTAATAGAAGTAAAGGTATATAGAAAGAAAAATTAAATATCCACATAAAAATTCCTATTTTAGTGGGCTAAAAATAAAACAAACTCTAACAATTAAACAATTTGTAGGAAAGTTAACTTTTAGACAGTATTATGTAAGGAAACCACTGGCCTGACCATAAGATCTGATAAAAGAAAAGGGGAAGTTTCTAGTTATTGTTCCTACTCTGATTTAACCAGGAATGTAATCTAAAGAGTTTGACATCTGAAACTGGGCGTTGAAATGGATCTGAGGGCACAGTCAGGTCAGTAAATGACCAGGATGTTCGGGTGGTAAACAGGAAGTTTGTTTCCACAGAGGTCATACTGCAAGCAGCCTGTCGTTATGGGAACAGATGTTCCTGAGAAACATTCCCCGGCCTTTTCTCCTGGACGAAAAACACAGACAAACAGCTTTTAGTTGAAAAAAAGGATATGAAGGGTGGAGTTAATACAAGCAATACCTCAGAAAGAAATCTGCAGGCCAAGATTAAGGATGGGAATCAAGAACATGTTGGTTTTTATTTGGGTGAAATACAAATAATTCTAAACCTTAACAGCTTGCAAATTAAACATGACATTCCTGTTACATTTAGATTTTACATTAGATATTGGGAAACTTTGTAGAGCCATTCATGACTTGGTTAGGGTCTGGATGTAACTTTTTATGATCCATTCATAAATATCTTCAGGGTAAAGAATCGACTGGCTGTTAAGAATAAACTAGTTTGTGCGTGATAAAAGTGTTTGACTTAACCCTTTTTAAGGAGGCGATTGTTTCAATGAGGTGTAGAGAATAATCAAATTCGTGCTATTTTGTACTCTTGTACAAATATTACAAAAAGATTACCATCTGATAGTTAAGCTCATACACCTGATTAGGAAATAATGTGCAATAAGGATTTCCAATCTTATGCAGATCCTGATGAATTGCTACGCTCTTTGTTTTACACATTTATATATTTTACCTGCTTGGTTTGTAAATGGAATAATGTGATAAATTAAAGACCCCTACATATCAGATCAGAATTTCAGAATATCAAGCTTAATTCAAATTTTTCAGTACCTGAATTTCAGAATTTAACAAAATTTTAATGTACTATATGCCATTAGTATTTCAGGCACTAGACTCAGTCATAGAATTTACCATCAAGAAATGTAAAACAATTCAAAGTCTAGTTAGGAGCAAGTCCTTCACTAAGCAGGACTCCTTTTGATGTATCGCGGTAGTATCTCCAAATGCTTGGAGTGATTGATCCCTCACTAGTTGAGACCCTACTATTCGCTAGTTGTTATTTTCGCTCTTATAAGCTATTAATATTGCATCTCACTTTATCCTATTCATTTAAATACTCAAGAGATATATCCACAAACCATACCAACCATACATGCTTGCAGTAATTTTATACTTGCATTGACTGTTGAGATTACACACTGACTTGAGGTTACTTGGCTCCCTACTGCTTTCCCAGTCAGAATGACCAATTCAAAACCATTCCTATTGCATTTTTAAACGTAAAATTAGGAAGTGCACCATTATACCAAGTTGTAAAACTAGACTTATCCAATTCATATCTTTAATATGTTTGCAGTAAAAGGTAAAAAAAAAATCTATTTTTATTCATTTATGCATGCAAACACTATGAAAAATTTTTAATAATCTGTATCACATCAGGTTTCTTTTAAGCAAAGCCATAACAAAGTTTAATCTTCTATTCACTATATTCTGGAAGCCATGTTGGATTCTGAATTTGGGGCTGCCTACCAAGCTTGGATTTTCCCTGTGGGAATAAGAACTTTGGGGGTATTAATTGTATTTCTGACTAGGAAATAACTGAGAATCCAACAAAAAAATTAATAAATAAATAAACCAAGAAAACAAATCATAGTTAAACCAGAGAGTTTTGGTTAATACAATGCTTTCTTTGTTTGATACACAAGGATAACAATATATTTTGTCTCCAATTTGTGCTTGCAAACACTCAGGAAAGATGTTGAGAAGCAAGTTTTTTACTGGTCTAGTGGGGAGAAAAAAAAGGATTTCAATAAATAGTTTATAAAAGACATTTCTCCGGTTTTTGATACCCAGCAGCCATATGGGATAGTGAAAACTGAAGCATCAGTTATATCATTTGGAATTCTGAGTTCAGTGGTCATTGGTTTTGTAATTCTTAATGGAAACCTAGGAAATCCCTCTTTGAGGTAAAAACTATCTTTACGATGTAGTGTTACTGTGCATATTTATTTTTCTCGGCCTCCTTCTGGGTTGCTGTGGGGCCTCCAAACAGCTGCCTAATTTGTTTATTTGCTTAACCCGTTCTCGGAAAAGAATTGTTTCAAATTTACTGATATATTTAAGATGTTGAAAACATGATTAAAAATAATATAGTATTTCTTTAGCAGAGCTCTATGCCTTAATTTTATCCAGATGTTTTAAGATAAGAGAATAAAGGGAGTTTTTAACAAAATTGATTATTGTTATTCTGTTTAAAGGCTGCTTCAGTAACTTCAGCAACAAGGGAAAGATTTTTTTTTTAGACTCTACTGTCCTGTTAAAGTAGCTGTTGAAACAGCGAGAGAGTTTCTAGGCACGTGAATAAAATAAGATAAGGATTTGCATGTTATATCTGAAATAGTATAATGTACGGAGCAAGGTGAGGAGTGAGGGAGCCGTTCATTTGGAGAGGGGACTGTATGCTCCAGGTTTCATCATGTCTGTCTGTAAAACAGAGCAGAACCTTCTGTATCTTTTCATTATCGCGTTGGTGGGAGCAGAGGTCCAGGAGAGCATCTCCCCCGAGTGTAAGAAGTTCTTGTACATGGGGACCATACCAAGAGGGCTGGAGGAGCAGCCTTTAAAAAAGATCTGTCAGTACTATGCGGGCAAGCCACGGTTCTTCACCCTCTATGACACCTTCAGCCACATCCCTGTTTACTCTGCGTACACTTTCAAGCGCTCGGATGGCTCCAAAGTGGTTGACATCCCCTGGATGTATGAGCCGCAGGTAGGAACACTTGTTGTCCAAAGTTTAATGGCGCACTGTTTTTTTTGTTTTGTTTTATTCTGACACTATTTATCCTAACAGCTTTCTTTAGTGTCTGGATCCAGAGAGATGGAGACGCTCCCTTCTGAACACGCTTACAAGAGTTTTGAAGATTCTCAGGCTGTGCTTGACGACTACTCCGACTCTGTGATCTTCGAGCGAGGTCAGTTGAACCCAGACGAGCACCAGGCCGATCAGGATGACAAAGCAGCTACCTACACTCTGACCAACGTGGTCCCCACGGTCCGAGAGTTCAACATCGGTCCTTGGAAAATGCACCAACACACCATACGTAAGAGGCTGAACAACTACTGCCGTGGAAACGCTTATGTGGTCACGGGGATCACCACCTCAGGCCACACCATTCGCCGCAATAACATCAACCGGCTAGGCATCCCTACCTATCTCTGGTCGGCCTACTGCTGCATAGATTTTGATCACAACGCTCCATACGCGGAGCGCACCAAGTTCCCTGCATTTGCAGCTTATGGGCTCAATGACAGGGAGAATAACAGGGTCCAGGAGATGACAGTGCAGCACCTGGAGGAGTTTCTGAAGAGGGTAACATATGTCAGCAGCTCCTTCCAGATCTTCTACGATAACTGTGTGCCTTCCAATACTGCCATTGATCACCTGCATTTGGCTTAAGAAAAGTAGATAAGTTAAAAAAGTAGACAGTCTTTACCTTTCAATTTTAGCATTTTGATTTTCTCACATTACTAAAGTAACATGTTTCACTCTGTACCAAGGATGCCTTGTCAGAAGCATTAGTAACAACAGATAGTTGCAGATCACAGCTCTTTACCTAAACTGATATTTTTTTTTTTTTTTTTTTTGTGGTGGATTTCCATGATTTGGTTATACACATTACTCATCAACTCAACCTAACCAATTTTACTCTCTGCTCACATTATCTGTTCTTTTTTTTTTTATCATATCTAGCCTACATGTGAATGTGAAGGCCTTTTGTTCAGCCATCACAGATTAGACTTGTGTTTTACATTTTCTGTCCCAGCGGCTTTAACTGGAGTAGCTGCTCCTCCACAGCAGCTAAGTCATAGAAATATGTTCATTTTAACGGGTAAGGATTTGTTCTTGGTTCTAAGTGATTGTTCTGAATTTGTGGGAGACAGCAAGTGCTGCTGTTATGTTCTAATTTGAATAAATTGAAATTCAACATGAAATGCAGATATTTTTTATTCATTTTTAATTTAGTTCCTGGTTGAATTTTAGTACATGAAATACTGAAAAAGAGTAAAAACAGAGGAACCTTTGAATTGAGAGATTGAATCACATTTGAGGTGCTAAACCTAAGGAAATTGTAAAATTATTTCACAAAATTAATGGTTTAAGAAAGGAGAAGTGTCATCTAAATACCTTCCTATCTAGAAGTACCTTCTAAATATTAAATACACTGGATGTACTTGTTTACTTTACCTATTTAGGAACTTTCCTGTAATATTTACCAACCTTATGAAGACAGAGAGACCTTATGGAGATCAAAGTCTGCTCCTAAGGCAGGGGACCCACTTTTTAATATTATGGGGTCAATTTGGAGTTATGGTCTCCTTAGTAACTTAGCTTTAAATGCAGAAACTATCGAACTATCAAACATGTTTGATTTTCTCCCGACCATCGTGGGACAATCGGTCAGTGCGCGTGCACAAAGAAGGATTCTTCCTTTTATTCTTCCTCTCAGATGTAAACACAGCAGCGTGGCAGGGATGCAATCAGTAAAATGCAGTTCTTTCTGTAAAATTGCGAGACCGTAGTAGCCTCGTTTGCTCAGCCATGTCTTTGTCCAAATACGTAATCGCCTTTTATTTTCAGGGCTTTCAGCACAAAGTTGCACAAATTGCCAAGGCAGCATGTTTCACTATAGTGAGCTTAATATTCCCCTTCTATTTGTTTGGATCCTGGATAGAGGAGTCAGAGCAGCTCCATCTAACTGCGGAGTTGAGTCCGACATGGTTTTTAAATGTGCAGTATGGGCAAGTAGATTGCATCAGAGCGTTGGGCCATACATAAATCGTGAGCTGTAAGCTCACACTGTACGACTAAACCCAGCGGGGGGATGGTAGGGGTGGCCATGGCCATGGCCCCCCATCTAGCTCCGCCCGTGCGCTTAATCCACAAGAACCATTTTAGTTCTTGTTCTCGCAACGGATGACGTCATGCTGATCTACCCGGACAGATCGCCTGAGCAGAATTAATATTTTTCTTGGGGTTTTCAGAAAAACATTTTTTTTTCTCCCATTGGTCAGAATTTGGAGGGGCGTTGCTAGTGGAGCCGGAAGTGATTCCCTGTTTTTGTTCCGGATGTTCCACACATTTCAGCAGGTGACCTGTGCAACAACATGGATAGTTTTGAGGAGCGGCTTGCTGAGGCGGTGAGAAAGTATGAGAATTTATATAACACGTCTTCCAAGTCGTATAAAGACCTGCAAATGGTCAACAATTCATGGAAAGAGGTAGCTCTGGCTGTGAATGCAGAGGAAGAGGTCTGTCGGAAGAGATGGAGATACCTCCGTGACAGATTCGCAAAGGCTAAACGCCGGGTGAGCAAAAAGAGGAGCGCTGATCCTGCAGGGAGGAAATCGGTCCCTGCGCTCTTCACGTCCCTGCTGTGGCTCGACAAACACGTAAAACATCGCGAGACGACGACCATGTTGCAAACTGAGGTAAATTCTAATGCATACCCTAATCTGTGAGGGTGGGTTAAAAAAATACACTATATTGCCAATATTTTTGCAGTATTAGATTGTAAAAGGGCTGTGATGAAAGTATGGTAATGCAATGCTCATCAGTCCCTGCAGCTGCTGCTCTCCCTACAGCCAATAGGAGCACTCCATTCTGATCACATGATAGGCAGAACTGCTGAAACTGTTTTTTTTGTTTATCTGCAGTGTTATGCTGCTTATAAAATTAGAAGTGTTTTCTATTGAGCAGAGGCGTAGCCAGAAAAATTTGATAAGGGTGCCCAGTCAAAAAACCAATGTACACTGAGTGGTGACCGAAAACGGACAGGCACCAGAACCTCAGGGTCAATCTAAACTGGAACGAGCACAACATACAGATTTTCTAATTATGACTAACTATACTTTCCTACAGCCTTTTGATTACTAATAGATGCATATATTTAAATATCCATTCTGTCTAAATAAAAGGTTTAGTGGACAACATGTCTGGGGCCAACTTATATTATCAAAAATTGTTCTGCATAAAAATATTTACATGGACTAATATCTACATTAAGTTATTATTAAAGTAGTTGCTTATCTATGATTTCACTGAAGACTCCAAGATGACTTGCACAGACACATTATTTTCTCTTTCACCCCCAGAAATCAAACCTGAAAGTATTTTATCCACTTTACCTTTTATCTAGAAAGCACGGATCTTTAAATATATGCTTCTATTTGTTAGCAACGGCTGTAGGAAAGTATAGGCTGTCTTATCTTTGGCTTGACCCTGAGGTTCTGGCGCCTATCCACTTTCAGCCACCCCTCTGTGTACACTGGTTATTGCCTGGCCACCCTTATAAAAACTTTATGGCTGCGCCTCTGCCTGGGTGCTCCAATGCTTTCATTTTCTGGCACCACACCTTCTCCCTGTTCTAAAAGGGGCGAGGGTCTTCTTATGTATTTTATTGGCGGATGGCAACCAATTTAAGGAGCATTTACCGCCACCTACCAGACTTGAGTGTGGTCATCGATGATGTCAGAGGGAAGTTAATACATCTCTCAATGGTATGCACGAATCTGCAAATTTATCAATCAATATCCATACAAACATATAAATTGGTATGTGTATATACACATGCATACACACAGTTATATTCTTACTTTAACAGGGTTTATACAGGAATGAATAACTCAAATTTAATGCTCTTAGAAGTAATTTTAATGCCACCAACAGGTACCCGTTGACAGGCTGCAGCCATGTCCCGAATTCCTTGTTTTCCAGCCACTTTTGTTGAAATTTGCTTTTTTTCCCCCCCATTCTCTAGCTTTTTCTCCGACTCAAGCTTCTTTTCTGAACATACAGCTTTATGATCAACCGGAAGCAGTTCCACGCAAATATATCGTGACATGTCAGATAAAATTGTTTTTATAAACATTTGTTAATAAAGCATTTTAAATGCCACAATAAACACATTTAATGGATTTTAATGCCAATTAGGGCCTTAATTTAAAAAATAATAGTTTAATGATTTTTAATGACCAGCAGAAACCCTGTTTAAATATGATTAAATAATCCAGTATTTTTTTTTTAACCTAATTAACTGATTTCTAGCAGAATTTGATTTACTTCCTAAAAGGTTTATCATTGAAAATCCTATTTTTTCTCGATTTAGTGTTGACTTTAGGTGCTGACGTTCCTGTGAATACTTATTATATTCTAATAAGCCATGTTCCACTATTTCCGTCTGTTTACAGTATTTACACGTCCCTGTGTCTTGCTTCCCTATTTTTTTTTGGGGGGGGGGCTCAGTGTAACTACTACCTGATAAGTTTCCCACTACAAAGTATTTACTTCCCCTATTTTTCCACATTGCTGTTGCAGGCTTTTTTCCTAAGATGTATAATCTACAACCTCCAAAACCTGAGATCTACATTGCTAACCATTTATATCTTGGTCACCTTGATGAAAACAACATTTACTAGATTATTTGGATGGTTAGACCTAGGTAGGACATGAGGGCTGCCTGCAAAGTTTTGTATACATCCCCAAATTTTGTCTTCTTACAGTCTGTTCAGAGGGCTATCCATTATCTTTATTGCTTTGTTGTCTGCCCTCATTTAAACCTTTAACTATGAAAACTGTCCAACTGATTTCAGTGGAGGCAGACTCCAATACACTAGCAGAAGCATGTAAAGAAAGGATGATCAGAGAAAATGTTATATTATAGCAGGGTGTGGGTACTTGTATGCCAAATATGTTTACCGTAAATGTAAACCTAACAAAGCATGCAGGTGAAAGGCCACTAATGTTTCCTGGTAGTATACCGGTAATCATCTTCAGTATGTACTGAAATTATGCTACAATTATCGTTCTGTGTCTATTTTTAGAAGAGAAGGAAGGCAGTTGTTAATGCCGTCCCCACGCCACAGAACGTCCCGTCCTGTAACGCCGGTCCTCCTGCTGTCTGTCCTGAGTCAATTAGGCCCGTTTCCATGACGCTCCCGAGTAACAACTCCACCATGAGATCGACTTCCGGGTGTCCAAGTCGAGGAAGAGAGCAGGGACCGGAAGAAAGCAACAACCAGGTGGATGAACGTTCCCAGCAGTTCCTGGTCCTGCAGCAGCAGCTGAGACCAGAAGGTGATAAAGAACGGGACGCGTTTGCAGAATGGCTCCGGTCAGCCATGCACAACTTTGAGCACACCATCTGGAGGAGGTGTCAGCGTGAGCTGACAGACGTCATGTACAGATTTATCGCTGAGAACGATGCACTGAGGGACGGCGGCCAGGGAAGGTTGCAAATTGAGGAAATAGAATACAAGTGGCAGCCAAAATAAGAGGAACAAGATCTCCATTTGTAAAGAACTTTAGTACTTTTATAAACCACCCATAAGTTAGGACATTTTCTCTTATATTTTGGTTTGAATAAGTAGGGAACACTGAGCACCTTTCCAGATGTTTTCTTGTTCTGATATCTAGAAGATAAAGCCATTAAAGTGCCCTTTGTATTAAAGAAATATTTGATTTATGACATCACGGCTTGGGTTTTAATTCACATTAACGGTATCAAAGGTCACAAGCTGTGCTTCATCATGTTAGACCTACATGGGCTGGTTAGAGAGTTAGTAGTATGACAACATAAGTTTTAAATGTAAAACAAAACTGAAATTAAACACTTAAAGGGGAACACTGTTTTTTTGTTGTTTTTTTTTTTTACTTTTGGGCCTTTGATTTTACGTTATTACATCATGTTCTACTCACCCATATGAGTTTTGTGTCATTTGGAGCTGTTCTGAAGATATTCGGTTTTGTAATATCCAAGTAACGTCTTCCTTTGGGCAACGACTTGAAGGCACAAACTAAACTGTTCATAATTTATCCTTTATGGTACGCCAGCATTCATAACATGTAGGCGAATCACTGTCCCCCAGACATCCGCGGTTATATTTTTTTTAAAACAAACCGGAGCTTGTATGATGTCATCCGCGCGCTGGACTGGAGTTGTGACAGGCAGCCCGGGCCGCAGGCAGCTACGCTCTACCACTTCTATTCATTCTAGCTAATCCGAATCGTTCAATTCCATTTTGAGAGCGAGATCATCTGTGGTAGTAGCACTAGACATGTTCCAGGCATGCGAGTAAAACTAGCATCAGTGCATGCGCGGATGGACACTCCGCTTTGATTTAAAAAAAAATATATAAATATAAAAATATAACCACGGATGTCTGAGGGACAGTGATTCGCCTACATGTTATGAATACTGGCGTACCATAAAGAATAAATTATGAACAGTTTGTGCCTTCAAGTCGTTGCCTAAAGGAAGACGTTACTTGGATATACCGTAACAAAACCGAATATCTTTGGAACAAAATGACATCAAACTCATATGGGTGAGTAGAAGATGATATAATAATGTGAAATCAAGGGGCCAATGTAAACAAACCGGTGTTCCCCTTTAAGGCGTTAAACATATTTTCTGTGGGGTATTTATTCAACAATATTTATAATTGCAGCTTATTATGGCACAAAACAAGTGTACCAAACTGATAGTGGCAAGTTAATTGATTATTTTTCTAGCCTGCAGCTACTTGATTAGCAAACATGGAAATTGGCTTGCTAACTTTATTTTCTAACCTTTAATAGTCTTAATTGTAGTGTTTTTCACAGTTTTAAAATGTTCTTGTTAGCATGGGGGTGTAGTGGCCTCTTTTAACGCAGCTGTCTGGTAACTCTTAGGGGAGGGACAGCACTAACTCTATTTTACATTCAGCTGCAGAAAACCCCAGCTCTTAATCTACCATCTAATTGAAACACTGTTTAGGATAAAAGAAACAGTCCCAAATGTTTTTTTTTTGTTTTAAATCAGCCAAAGGATCGAGGAATCAAGTTGATAAATCTGCCAGTTATGAGCACAATTTCTTAGAAACAACGACCCTAATCCTGACGTAGCATTAGACACCATATTATGTTGCCGATGTATAGAAACCAGCCTCATGAGTAACTTTTAATAGAATGACACAATCACATGTGCAGACCTATTAGATGCAACGTTCTTAGAGAAGCACTTTCTCCAAGTATTTTTGTACTAATTTTTTAAAATACATTTTGTATTCTAAAACGTATCCGAGAGAAGCGTTAACAATTTGGCGCAGTGTGTACTGCAGTCATTATCTACTCTGAAAGATACATGGGATATGCTTGAAAAAAAATGTCAAAAACCTTTTAATAAAAGCAAATTAAACTCAGACATTGGTTACCCTAATGGCTTCTAAGATGTTCATTATTTTTCCCCAGCCAAGGCTTAAAAAAAAAAAAAACACGTACAAACCAGCAGCAGAAGTATATGGGCTCCCAGAATGCAAAACCTTTTCTTAAATTATCACTGAAAATATAAAGTGAAATACTGCTGTACATCCTTGTAAAAAAAAAAAAAAAAAGTTTGTATGGAGAACTGGGTCTTAACCTCACATACTCTACATATTATAAAAACCTAAACATAATGTAGATCTGTGCCTGTAGCAGTCCGATTGTAGCCGAAGCTCATTTGGTCTCAGTTAAACCAAACTGTGTTGAGTTGTGTCTGTTTCTTGATGCTGGTGTCCAGCTTGAGCACCTCTCTGATCGCCATGGTAGCGTAGGTCGAGGGAGGCAGGGAGAACTCCATCTTCAGAGCCCGATACTTCCCCTCTGTGGAAAGGAACCAGACCAGCAGAAAAGGTCATAGCTCATATCAAACTTTCATAATGTCTCCAGCTGAAGCTGTTGTTTCTGTCTGATCTGATGGCCCTGCGTCAATAAAATATTTTTTAATTGGTGATCAACCTCAACTTCCTGCACCTAAATGGCTTAACGTCGTAAATAAAGGCAATGTTTCTGGTTAAACATTCAAAATGTATTATTATTCATATCCAAAATAATCCTCTTCAACCTTTTCACATGGAACAGTTTACTGGATTGATGGAATGTTTACCCTGTTTTCATAAAAGTTGTTGATCTTATGTGTAGCTCATTTAAACAGTTTATTTTTTTATAAACTTGGTGCTTTGATCATCTTATACTTGAGTACAGTTTTAGTGGCTCTCTATGAAGCTCTTGGAGAAAAACATATGAGCAATTACAGCCTTCTAGTTTACATTAAAAAGGGGCAAAAAATTTGAGGGTTAAAGGAAGCCTTTATTTTTTTTATTTGAGAGCCACATAGGTAAAAAAACAAAAACAGGTACTTCACAATTGAGTTTTGAATAAGGGCTTTGCAAGTGATAATTTAAAGCTTTAATTTGGACGCCAAAAATTGCCTTTTTATTTCTGTACTTCCATCTAATTGTGTAAATGCTGTAAGGCCATCCTACTGGGTTGTTCAGAGGTATGAAAACTGTTTCAATAAAAAAGCCTAAAAGCTTTCAAAACGAACCCATTTTTTTACATCGTCACCATGGCCACATAACATTTTGTAAAAACATGAAAGTTGGCATAACTATTCAGCAAACTAAAAATTATTTCCGTATATATATTTCTTTGATGTGATTCCCTCTTTTTTCACAGGATGCCGTGTCTTTTTAAAAATATTTTACACAAAAACAGCCCTGTAACATCGTTCCCCTATGTGTCCTGGTTTTTTTTTTTTTTTTTGCTGTATTGTCAAGCTTCTTAAAGTTTAAACCTTTATCTATATTTTGCTCAAATGACACTTATGCATTTATTTCAGAATTGTGCCAATTCTTGTCATTTAGACAAAATATTTAGCTTTGTATTCAATACGATATTCTTCAACATTTCAGTTAACATCCTTAAGCCACTAGAATTTTTCTTTACCAAATAAAATTCCAGTTCCTTCTTACAAGTTTTCGTGCTGTATCTGCTTCTTTATTAGGTCTCAGAAGATTTATATTGTCAACTTTGGCAAGATTCCTCCATCTGACAGGACAGGCATTAAGCTTTTTCTGTTTCTTATCAATTCTTGACATTTCAGCCATGTTTCTGTTGATTTCAGCTTGCTTCTACTACTTTTCAGGAAATAAATTAAGCATTTTTTGCCATTTCACACCATTTTAGCCCTTTTTACTTCAATTTCACATTGTTTCTGACAATTTTGGGCCTACAGCTTAGCATATAGCATTCACACTGCATTTTTGCAGGAAAGGATTTTTGTTTTGGAAGGAAAAACTGAAATGAAATAAAAAACAAATTGTCTTATTTGCATTCCTGAGTTTCAGACCAAGTTTAACAGAGAGGCTTATGATTGAAGAGAACAGACCTTTGTTGAAGACAGGAGCAGGTTTATTCTCCAATTTCTCAAAGTCACTATGCACTAAAGAGATCCGGGGGTCGTCATAGTGAATCACCTCCCTACAATAAAATGGCAAAGCAACAATAAACAACAATAAATTATAAAATAAGTCACCATAGCAGACAAAAAAAAAAGGTTTTAATATTTGACCATCAGGATTAAACAATATGATTCTCACTGTTAGGAATACTTCTTCTCAACTAAATAAAAAGTTGGAAATCCTGCTTACCAGCTGACATCAGTGGGTGTGATGATGATGCGCCTGTAGGCTCCTGCCAGAGAGTAGTCCTTCACTTTGTGCCTCATGTTGTCGATATCCAGGCCGTCTGCAGAGAGCAGCTCTCTGTATCCGTCACCAACTGACAGAGACAAGCCGAATAAACTCTTCATTTAGGAAACATGCTGTTTGCATACATCTTAACCTTCAAGGTAATTATGTTCAGGTTAATATTAAATTTACCATACTATTTTCAAACCCTTGTTGTTTCCATTAATCAGGCATAACATTCTGAGTTGATCTGCATTGAAATCTCCCTGATACATCAAGGCACGGAATCTACATGACCCTTCAACTTATGCTGGGAAATCATGCGTCCAGGTGGTGGCCACAGCTCCTTCACCTTACTTTCACTGGGCATGCCTAGCTCCTCCAACATATGCTCGATTGGATTCAGATGTGGGGAATTTGGAGCCCAATCAACACTTCAGCTCTTTTTTTGGCTTCTAAAATAATTTCTCGGCATTTTTTGCTTTGTGGGCAGCTACACTTCCTGCTAGAAGAAGCCAAAGCCACTAGGGAACATTGTTAATAACCAGAATAGCCAGCAGCTATGCAGCAGCGAGTGTTAGTGGTCCACGACCCTGTGGCTGATTCTGGGATGCTGGATGTGATTTACGCTAAACATGACTTCTTTTCTGTTCTTCAAATTCTCAATCAAATTATCAAATTGTCATTCAAATATTCAAATTTTGCTAATCAATCATATAAACATAATTATATAGCATTTGATCTACATTCTTAACTTCAGTTCTCTTATTATGCAGCCTACATTTTCACATCAATAATCTGCTGCTGAAAAGGAATTCGACTGGGAAGTCAGACCCTGGGTATGTTTAGCGGTTAATGAATGTTCTTTACTTGTAGATTATTTTACCAAAAAGCAGTTTTTACTTCATTGACCTCTTTCAATAGACTCACAAGTTGCTTTCTGAAGGCTCAGACGGCTTATTTAACATTCAGTATGAT